ATCACCCCTGTCCTCCAACATCTCCACTGGCTCCCAGTTAAATACCGTATCAATTACCCTGTTCTCCTGTTCACCTACGTGGCCATCCATAATCTTGCCCCCCCCCACCTATCTGACCTCCTCCACGTCTTAACCCCCACTTGGTCCCTCAGATACTCCTCCTCCATCCACCTCTCCGTCCCACCTGCCCGCCTCAGTACTATGGGAGCCAGAGCATTCAGTCGCTCTGCTCCCCATCTCTGGAACGCCTTACCACCCGATCTCTGTAACTGTGACTCTCTCCCCACCTTCAAATCTCAACTCAAAACACACCTGTTCCGGACAGCATACTCCCTCTAACCTCCCTCCTCCTTGCTTCTGTTCATCATTGATTTTAAACATGTTTCTATGCCCTGTTTTATAATTATCTGTTTTTATTTTATTTTTATGTACAGTGTCCTTGAGTGACCTGAAAGGCGCTTATAAATAAAATGTATTATTATTATTATTATTATTATCTGCTAATCATGGTCAGTTCATATCGAACCAATGTAGACCTTCGGCCTAAATCATTTGAGGTGAGGGAAATTGGCTTTAGAGAGAGATGACCTGGTCTTTTTGTTTTAAACTCTCAAATATGAATCTCTGACAGGCAAGGCTTTTGTAGCCTAAAGTCAAGCAGGAGTTTCTCGTTTCCCCATTTTGTCCTTGTTTCATACTTTCACTTTCTCCTTTTTTGCTCTTAAAAAACCCACATCCCTTTTGTTTTATGTGTTCTTCTTCTTTCTATTTGAAAATAGCTTCTGCTCTTTTTACCACAAGAATACGTGACCTTGCTTGGAGGCCTATAATTGAATCAGGCACCATAGGTACTTCTCTTGCCTGTGTGACTCTCATATGTACTTGTGTAAATGTCTTGCTTATTCCGCTCAAGTCAGCATCATAAAGAAAGTGATAAACCTATGCATTTAGTGTATATTACAGTAAATTAATACTTAATTAAAATACTGTTTTTCTGTCTTTTGCAATTTATACAACACACATTTCCCAGCTACTGATTAAACCCCCCAAAGAAATTAGCCAATGCGTCAATACAAAGTAAAACCAAAAGTAACAAAGTCAATGTCTTTGCCTTTGTTTGGTGGTTAGCAGGCTGTAAACCACAAGTGAAGTTATATATTCTTAAATATATATATATATATATATAATATTTAATAATATTAAAAATTTCTAACACATTTTTTTATGACACTACTGAGAGCGGACGCTGGTATGCATGTTGCCGCTGCTCTCCGGCCGTATGAGCTCATCTCCCTCCTTCTTAGTGTTTTCTCGGCTTTCACACCATCACTACCGACTTGCTTTCATGCAATTGTGCGACACTTAATCGGTTCCATTGTCCTAGTATATCCTGCTGTAACTCCAGCACTTTTGTTTGCAAGTGCTTGGCGGTAGCTGCGGCTAGCGCTGCTAGCGGGGGGGCA